TAAGTACTTTTTTTACATTAAAATGTAACATAACAGTTAAGTTACGTTAACAGATTTTATTGTATAATTTTTTTGATTCTGTTAAAATAGCTAATATTTTTAAAATAAAATATATATATATCTGTACAAATGGTGTAAAGTTAGCCATATAGCAGTTATGAACCAATTCTTCAAATTTCTTATCAGTTTTAATTTTTGCTGACATATAATACAGCTTTTTATTTACTACTGAAAAACTAGCTTATTAAAGCACTTTCAATTTTTCAATGTCAGAAAATCTATTTGTGCAGAAAAAAAATAAATATGGATCCACAAGACTACTGTTAGCTTTCAGCAGACCATCACTTTATCACTTTCTGTCTTTCTGTGTTCTCTGTTTGTGTATGCATGCTCATGTGTATATGAGCATGTCTGGATGTGTGTGTGTGTGTGTGTGTGTGACTGCGCATTGCCCATTCTCAGCAATTCCATTATCAGATTGATGTTTTCACACAAGGTGGGCTTAGCTGGCCGCTAATCTTCACACTTCCGGCAGGGCAACTGGAAAGCTCAGCGGCTGATAACAAACCTACATGCCACATAGAATTAATTGGCTAATTATCATAGTGGTTGCAAGAGCAGAAAAATCTAGACCTCACAAGTCAGCTTTGTCCCTTGGCATTCTTCTCATCATGAGGACAAATCGCATTTATCAATTAGCAGTTTTAATGAGCTTGTACAGTAAATGGACATGTCTGTGTAATGTTTCAAATGATGATATTTTAAGACTTTCTTGGATTTTAACTGAATCTGTATATTTACATGTAATAAAATGTCCTTGTATTATTTAGCCCTTTATTGAAATATACTATTACTGTTTATTTACAGTAAAAAAATTAAAAAAAACAGTTGAAAGGTGGACACTTGTGGACTGCCTAACTGTTTTTTTAAGTCCCCATTAAAGTTAGTGTCGCCCAGTCCGCAGCTCTACAGACATCCGCCAGCGAGGCGCCACGAGCCAGCTAATTCGTCGGTCATCCGACGTGACGTCGAGAGTGACCGACTGAAAGGGAACAGTAGTTTTATATCTAAAGGGTGAATCTATTAGGTCTCTTTACACAGCTCATTTAAGGCTGCTCTGTTCCTGCTCAAAATTCAGTGTAAAGATGTAATACAGAATAAAAACCAGACTAAATTATGGCTGCACAGACCCACATCAGCTCTTAGAATTATAGTATACAGTTGTAATTGGTGTGTAAATGCATTCATGCCACCTCTGAGCAGCATTTAACAGTCTGTGTGAAGACACCTAAAAACCACTTCAGAAGTGCTTTTATGGTACCTTTGCAGTGTAAATTTGACATTAGACTTAATTTTTAATATAACTGTCGGAAGATGTTAAATGCTGCAGGCAGTTTATTATAATTTTTTCTTTCTATTTTTATTATTTTTGAGCTCTTCGATATGTTCAGCATGGACTACTTTCAATCTGAAATATGCCTCGGAAAAAAAGTTAAACTCATCACCCTTATACTATTGACAAATGGATGAAGAAAGGTATTTGACAAAAGGATAAGAAGAATTTGGCAAAGGAAATTAATTTGTATATAGTATAGGCCTACAGCTTTATCTCATTATTCAACAGATACTTCCTGTGTAAAGGAATATTTGGGGTACAAAGTTGATTACCAAAACAAATAAATAAGTAAAATAATATTTTGGATTCACAAATTTTCTTTTACTCCCTCGTTTACTTTTAATTCAGGATAAATTAAATTATTTTAGTTTATGTTAAGTGTTATGTTGTCTTGGCAATACAATTTTCACAATAAAATCATAGAAAAAACATATTGTTTACATCTCATAGCTACACTATTAAAACAGTGATTAGTTTAATGTTTAAAGATTAGGCTTCTTTCACTTCCTTGTAAGTGCATCACTGTAGCTTAGATTTTTTATTTTTTTTAAAAGTTGAAATTAAATTATTCCACAAATGCCGTTGATTGAGTTTAACCTGTGCTAAACCCAGAAGATTTAATTACAGTTAATTAAGTACTTTAAGTAAGCTTCTTAAGATAAATGCTTTGTCTGAAAAAAAAAAAAGAATAGGCCTGACTTTACATTCAGTTTGAATCTGTTGTTAAATGCAGATAAACACAGCCCTGTAGCTCTGTTAAAAAAACTATATATATATGTATATATATATATATATTCTTTTTATAATAAATAATAAAAATACATTTTGAAAAAAAGATAAAATGTGTGTGTGTGTATATATATATATATATATATATATATATATATAAATTACAGCCTATTTTTTTACAATTATTAAATCGATCATAAATCTAACTATATAGTGAATGTTGATATATATATATTTATTTATTTCAGTGTTTCTGTAAGTGGAGCTGGGAATGAGGGAACACAAAGGAGACCACAACCAAGTGTGCTGACTTTTTTAATTACTTCCTTTAAACTTGTGCATCAACTTCAGACAGGAAACTGTGCGCACTTCGTTTTGTTTTCACAATATGGTCAAAATTAGTTTGTATCTGAAAAATCTTTAAATACATCTTATCCATTTGAAACCATTTACACACAACTTCTCGGCACTGAGTACTAGCAGTCTATTAGCAAACGGGGGCATTGAATATGAAGCATATTAGCAGTCCTCTTCCATTTTATACCACACTTCTGTATCAGTTTTGTTGTTTCTATTTATCTCAAGTAAAAATATCTTTCTTTAAATATGATTCCTTTACATGATAAAAATAGGATCTGTCCAAAATGAGTGTCACATCAACACTACCAGGCATGCTCGGCACTTCCCCCGTCCTGTGTGCATCTATCATGAACCCTGGCGCACACTCGTCCTCACGGAGGCCAGGTGATGTGATCATGGATGTGTTCCGTCACATGGGGCTCATCTATGCGGAAGCGAATCGGTCCAAGGGGCCATCGCGACTTTAAATTCTGGTGTGTGGATTCCACAGGGCAGCCACCCCCGTATCAAGAGAGATATGCCAATGATTGATTTGTGTTGATAAAAATTATTACAAAATGCTGATATTCTTTAATTGTACAAAACACCTTATTATTTTTATAGAAATCTTACATTTGCACAAGTTTATATGAGGACTCTTATTCTGAAATCTGAAATCAAATTCACAAAGTACAATCATTAAACTGAAATTAAATGTAGTTATTCAAAATAACAGACATGAAATATTAATTTCAGCTATGTGTGTTCAAAGTTGCTGTGACCATCATAGAAAGAAAGAAAGAAAAATAAGAAAACATTCATTAACCAAATGAAAATGTTTTGAATAAATGCATCACAATAGTTTGTTTCGAGTTCACTCAACTAATTTTTGGAGAGTTTTTCGGATGAATCTCATGAAATGTTAAAAATTGTATTAGCAGATAATATTTCACCTCAAATTTAAAGTAAATAAATCAAATCAATATTTTTCATGCATACATGAAATTAAGCCTATTTTAGAACCATAACTTTTATTTATCCTTTGTGATATTATTGTCATGACAGTTCAAAACACATTTACCTCTCTTTACTAAAAATAAAAAATAAAGTAAAACTCACTACTGTAATATATAAAAATCAATTTTTCGTTTTTATCATTTGTTGTACTGCGTTTGATTTATGCTGATTGATTTATATATTCTGTATATTATATTCTGTAGAATAGAATCACTAATAAGCGTAATAAAAAAAAATATGCAGATGCATTATGTCGTCTGCACATTTAAAACAACAAAAACAATAAAGTAAAAAAAAAAATGCACAGACAATTTAAGTCTCATCTTATGAAATGTTGCTTCTCCATTAAAAGTATCTTATTTTAGTCATGTTTACATATTTTCACTGTAATTGAACAAAAACTGATATTTTTTGTAGGGTACTGTAAATTTGGACAGGAAATATTCAATTGTGCAATGGTTTTAATATGCTTAAAATAAACACAAATGTCGAAATATGTTGCGAGTCGAACATGTTTTTGTGAGATTCACCATTAGTCATTGTGACACTCAGCAGGGGCCTGAAAATGCAAAGAAATGAAAGTGGTATATTGCCTGTTGCTGTGTCCTGCTTCCATTGCTTGCGAGAGTGGGTGTGAAGCACGCTGAATGATTTCAGTGATATTGCTGTGCTGCTCAGCAAAGAGTGCTGCGAACTGATTGTTTCAGAGTACTTTTTTTTTTTTTTGCTCCTAAAAGTAGCACAGATACTGTATGTGTTAAAAACCTGTCCGTCTTTTGCTTCTGTATTTGTCAGGATGCGTCTCCTTGTTCTCTCTAAAGGACTCAGCTGCTCTCTGTGGATGGACAACAGCCAAGTGTGTCATCAAACCAAACATAATATGAACATAATGAGCAGACAAACCTCCTTCCGTCACACTCCTCTAGCTGTGTGTGTATTTCCTGCTAAAAGTTACCCTGAACGCTGGCACCGGTCAGTCTTGGTGATCTGGACCGATGAGGTAACTAAAATTTTGCCCAGACTCGATTTATTTCCACAGGAAATGTGTTTCCGTTTCGGCTGTTGTTTTCAGTAACTAATTGTTTGAAATGACATTTAAGATCCCTTCCCCGTATAGAAAACCGACTTCCTCCCCGCCCAAATTTCTCCCCGTGAAGTTTCCTTGTCCAAGCTCAAGAAAGAGCGAGCTGGTGTCCGTTTTAAGCCATGGTCTCTTTGCCTGGCAGTCTTCGGTCATTGAAGGTGTGCATGTTGATGACTTCATCCGTTTTGACCATGACCGGCGGCTGCGGTTTGTGTTTGAGCCGGCGCTGGCACTTGAGGGAAACCCTTAGCTCGTCCACCATGACGCTGCAGAAGGATCTCTGTGCGGACAGAAGAACACAGCTGATTGGATGTCCCTTAATTTCCAACACACAAACAAACATACTGGCTTTCAGTTCCTGGAAAGGTAGAGGACAGTGGGTGAGTTGGGTCAGTGATGGATAGCAGGGGGTGAAAGGTGGAAATGGAGATGGGATGAAATGATTATGCTGGTGTCCGTGTGGATGCACAACACGAGCATCATAACTAGCGATTTCTCTGTGGCAGATTTCACCTTGCTTCCTCCTGCCAGGATGCTGCATGATTTATTGATGCATATTATTTCAGAATTCAAATCCTGTATAACCGTATGGCCAATTAAACACACCCCCCACAAACAAGAAACAAACGGTCAGATGCTCAGCTGTGTAATGGTGAAGTAAGCAAACATGTGCTTTTCCTTTTGAAAAATAATTCAACACATTATTCAACAGCCCCAGCCTTTATAAAGTCTTACGAATAAAATTTGAAATCAATAAAAATAAACACTGATACATTAAAAAAGAACAAATCATCTATGCAGTATGTATTATGAATAATTTCATCTTGCGGCTCACAGGAAGTACTGTCTGCTTTTGTGAACAATCTGGCTTTATTTACAGCATTTTCATTTAAGATATGAGAGAGACGTGAAGATATGAAATAATAAGGTGCTTGTTAGGCATTCCAATCAGAGTGTTCTTACCCAATGATCTGCCTTCTTCATAGCGACATCCTCCATAACAGCCAATAACAGAACATTAGCATCTAGCTTATGATTACTGGCACGAACTTTAATAATTGATGGTTTAAATTTGACAAATTCAACCACACATATGAGATTAGGGGTTAAATAGAAATTATGCTCTATGTACAACATCATGCTGTTGATTACCACAGGGAAAAAAAAAAATTATATTATATATATTAGAATAATTAATTATAAGAATTACATTATGTATATTATGAATACCTTTATAATGCATTATACAAAAGGCTTTAAGCAAAGTGTTACCAAAATTACAAATAATAGTTCTATTTGTTCTATTATTAGGTATTTTAAGATAAATATTTCTGAAATGAAATATAACTATGAGTGGCACCAGGCTATGAAAGAGTAACCCTTAAACAGTACATTTTTATTATTATTTAATTATTTTTTTTTTAATTAATTAATTTTTTTTTTTTTTTTTTCTCTCATGTACTCAGTTGAAGAAATAAAAAAAAAACAGTAACACTTTACTTAAAACCTTTCAATATAATGCATAATAAAAGTAATTTTAATGCATTCATTATACATTGTAATGCATGTGTATAATGTATTGCATGATCTCATGAATAATTAGAAACAATTATAATACTTATCTATTCATTGTTGCACCATTAGAAAGTATAATGCATTAAAACACATGACAAATAAACCTACAGATATTATAATGCATTTTAATGCATTATACTTTCTAAATCAGAATTGGAAATCTATTAACAAAAACACATATGTATGTATGGACAGCGGGGACTTTCAGGAGCAAGGATTACTCTTGGAAGGTGGTGAAAGAAATTGGGGAAGAATATTCATGTAAAATGTGCAAAAAAGGAAAACAAGAAACAGAAACATTACAGTAACCCTTTTATTTAAACATTAATTTATATGTGCCTTTGTGCATGTGTGATCTTGAACATATACACTATCAATATAAAGATGCACTAAACAAATATTTGTAAAATACACAAAGAAACCATGGACAATGCTACAAAATATGTTGCAGTTCTCATGAAATACTTGATGTATTTGCCAAAATTATATACCATTCTGTTAAGTTTTATTAACAATGCAAATGATTTTAACAAGATGTAAATATATATGTTTTTGTGTTTATTTTCTGGTGGTAGGAAAACAGCAGGAAATCTACATCATATTATGTTAGAACCATTTCTACATTTGTATCTAAAGCAATAAGATTGTTGGTCAGACTGTTGGCTCTTTCCTAATCTTACAAAATAGAGGCAATTATAAAATGCTAATTTCTGGGGGAATGTGCTGCTGAGGAGCAAAAGGCATTTCCATATGATGTTTTTTCTTCTTCTGCAGAATAGTGTAAGAAAATACTGAACAAAGGACAGCAGCTCAAGTCTTGTACAAAAAATACTTTAATTGCCTCTCAATCAGTTTCAGTTGCAAGATTTGATACCTGATTTAAATGTTCTCAAATGTGTGTTTTCTATTGCATTGCTTTGTATTGAATTAAAACACTAGCAAAATCACTCATCTGGAATTTGACACTTCCATTCAGATCAAGATCCCTCAGCACTCTGTTTGAAACCATATGCTTCATAAAGCCTCTATAGTTATGATTACGTGTTCTTAAAAATAAATGTAGTCAAAGCCATTTTCAACCTTTACTTAATAGTTAACAAATTTGTTAGAAATGTAATGAACTATAGGTATTTTTTTCTTTCTATATGTATCTATATAGGCTCTAGAGCAGGGGTGCCCAAACTCTGTCCTGGAGGGCCGGTGTCCTGAAGAGTTTAGCTCCAACCCCAATTAAACACACCTGAACCAGCTAATCAAGCTCTTACTAGGCATACTAGAAACTTGAAGGCAGGTGTGTTGAGGCAAGTTGGAGCTAAACTCTGAAGGACACCGGCCCTCCAGGACCGAGTTTGGGCACCCCTGCTCTAGAGTGATGCTCAATATCATTGGCCAGTAGGTTTATCATGTGAATGTAATCATTAAACAAGGATCAGACAGCAAAATAACGCCTTGCCAGAATATTCGTGAATGTCAATACGATGACTTACAGCAAACAAACAAAAGCACTTAGAGAGATCGATACAATGAATCCGAGATGAATATAAAATACACTTCTTCCACTGAGAGTGAATAAATGGAGCTGTGCTTTCTGGGGAAACTATCAATACTTAAGCTGGCAGGTTGACCCTGTCATTGTAGTTAAACAAAAACATCCATATTTAGAGTGAACATTTTGAACGTATATATGTGAACGCTTCAAACAAAGACCTCTTTAAAGATAACCAAACTTAGACCATCTCCGTTTGCTTAGCATGTGTAATGTGAACACACAGCACGACGCGTTCATTTTACTCAGACATTTGCAAGTTATGAATATTTTGGCCATTATGGCCTTCCCATTTAAATTTAGTGCTGAAATGCAAATGGGATTAAACTAAATGATTATTCTATTTTTGTGGTGATTACAGAACAAGTGCCATTCTAACTTTTTTTTAATGACTGCAAAAATATATTCAAAAATAAACAAGGGCAATTAAATGCCTTCCAAAAAATGCAAAAATGAAGGCTCAGTGGAGAAGTAAATTATGACAAATGTATTAAAACTGATTATTAACATTCTAATAGGACAGTGTGAATGCACAGATAACTGCGTAGCCTGCTTGGCTCATCCACTCAAGCGACATTTGGTTATTTTAAAGAGAATTCCAGAGAAAACACCCTTGAAGATCAGATTTACACAGTAACTGCATCATCAAATGAAAATGAATGCTAAAAATACTAGAACAAAAGCAAATTAATAAAAGACTACCAAGTAAACCTGTCCTTTAATATACTGAGTAAAACAACAGCACATGAGTAGAATTTCCAAGATGTAAATTCTTTAAGATGCTTAAACATCATATTTGTGATGTGAAAGAACTGGAGTTCATTCATTTCTAAGTTTTTTTTTAATTATTACTTTTATTTTTTGGAGAATTATTGTCTACCTCATTATTGACTGTACACTTCAAGCATTTACTGATTCAGCTGATCAAGTATACGAGTGAAGTAGATAGGGGGAAAGAACAACACATCTGTTGACACAATGGCAGCCTTTTGAGCAAGTAAAGCCCGAGCCCTTCTGTCTTCAGAGACTTACATCAAGAAGGACTGTTTGCTCTCCAGACACAGGCACTGTCTGTAAAATATTACCAGTGAAATATACCTCACACTTTGCTTTCAGTACCACAGCATTAAAGCCAATTTTAGACAGAATTAATATTGTTTGCATTGATCTGTAACAGATTCTTTCATACTCAGAGGCATCAGTTGAACTCATCTGACTGGCTGGCTTACATTACCCACAATTCCCCCGCTGATGAAACACAAAATAGCAGACCCCTTTCTGGTGATTATATGTGATTTGTTTTCTCTAAAGAGACTTGCATAATAACCCTAAACTCTTAGTATATCCTAACAGATTGCAAATGTTCATTGCAGTCCAGAAATGTGAAAATGTTGCTTTACCTTTTCCAGCTGTGCGTTTTGTTTGGACTTATAGAGAAACTCCCCAACTGCCACAAACACAGAGAGGACGAGTCCCGCAGCCAACACTATGAAAATGCCGCCGATGTTCTGGACACCCAGCGCACTGGCCTCCTTATTCTCCTCCTCAGGACAGCCGTTTCCTCGCCACCACTTCTCCTTCATCATGTGAAGCTTCCCTTCTTCCTGTAGCTGCAGGATTGCGATGGTGATCTTATCTCTGTAAGGGGACCCTGAAAAGGGTTAGAAAGGGGAAACAAGATGCTGAGAATTAGTTCTGCTGAGCATCTGCTCATTTCGGGTGGTCAAATGGATGAAATCACAATATTGTCAAGAATGCATCATATGCTTGACCTACTCGCTCACATTTCACCTTAAAATCAAAAGAAATAAGACATAATACAGCTGCAAGCAGCAAGTCATGAGCAATTAAGCAAGCATTTCAGAGAGCATCATGCCAACTAAATTAAAGACATCTGCTGATGATTTTAAGCAAAATTGTTTTAAACCCATAAATACGATCACTTGTAATGTGTCATAATTGCTCATCACTTTTGACCAATAGGTGGAACTGCAAAAATATACAGCCTCAGATACGCTTTGGTATCGTGCCGTCAACTTTGACAACAAGTTATACAACAACAGTTTGAGATATCTAAAAGCTTTTACTAACTTTTTTTTTTTTTTTTTTACCAACAAGGTCTGATGATGATGTGTGTGAAATCTGGTGAAGATCGGACAAACGGTCTAAAACAAGATAAAAACAAAAAAAAAAAACAGGTTTTGCACCAAATCGAAATGGCCAACAGACTGTTGAAAAACATATACACTGGATTCTGTAGAACCCAGAGAATAGAAAGGGGTTTTTTTATAATACATTATTGTGTTTATAAAATATAGTATTTTATCACACAATTCAAAATGTATGATGCCCAAAATGGCCAACATGTGAAAATTGTGTATGCCGCTTCACAGCTAAAGAGTCCAGTGTTTGAGATATCTAAAAGCTTTTTCTAACTTTTTTTTTTTTTTTTTTACCAACAAGGTCTGATGATGATGTGTGTGAAATCTGGTGAAGATCGGACAAACGGTCTAAAACAAGATAAAAACAAAAAAAAAAAACAGGTTTTGCACCAAATCGAAATGGCCAACAGACTGTTGAAAAACATATACACTGGATTCTGTAGAACCCAGAGAATAGAAAGGGTTTTTTTTATAATACATTATTGTGTTTATAAAATATAGTATTTTATCACACAATTCAAAATGTATGATGCCCAAAATGGCCAACATGTGAAAATTGTGTATGCCGCTTCACAGCTAAAGAGTCCAGTCTTATTTTAGGCTAGACTGTTCAGATGATATAAGTAAAAAAGTCAATTTTTTTTTTATATCTCTTGACCAGTAGGTGGTGCTGTGCCTGAAACGCCTCATGTACCCTCAGGTCATGGTTGTTATAAAGCATACCAAATTTGGTCTGAACACATTAAAGCATTGTAGAAATATAAGTTCACATCCATTTTGGCATGCTCTTTGTCGAATATGCTGATGTACCATACGAGAACGATTTGGTCTATCGAAAAACATTTTGACTGTCCACTACCTGTGTGCCAAATTTCATAGCTTTCCTGCAAGCTGCCATAGACTCAAGAGCGAAGAAGAAGAATAGGTGCCTTCACACCTCTGGTGCTTGGCTCCTAATTTTTTCTTTAAGAAAATTAAGCCTATTGATGATAACCAGATCAGTGAGCATTATTATTATTATTTGTATTTTTTTTTCCCCAAGAATTAGTTGTTTTGGATCACAAAACAGACTGAACAATTTGTTCAAGAAAATCACTGCCTCGATGATCCGGTAACAGCGGTTCTCTAGTTAACAGTTCACTGGAGGGAAAGATTATAAGTGAATAACGAATTTAATTTCAGTCTGTTTCTAAAATGGATGGCTTCAAAAGACCATCACAAAGAGCGCAAGTATGGCCTACCTCATTTTTGGAGCTTAACATTCATGGTGAATGTCAACTACTGTTGTAGAAAAAAAAAATACTTGCAATGAAGACGCTTCAAAACATCGGACAATCTGAAATAAATGAATGAAGTCTTATTCAGATAATACTGTATAAGGTATTTATACCTTATTCTGGTATTTCTTGTACTAAGAATACACCAAGACTAAAGCACATTAAAACAAGCCGATGTGTAAAACTGTCATATTGATTGCACTACTACAAGACTTGAGGAAAGCTGAGACAGTGAAAAAGAAACATGAAATTTGTCACTGCAGTGGTGTGAGATTGTTTTTCACAGTACAGAAGTGAGAAATACAGACACTAATGCAGTACGAGCCATAAAAGCCTAATGCTGTTTGTTGAAACACAGCTCCCAGGGTGCCATTGATAACACACCAATAAAACCCAATTACATTCGAGGGACTGGCATTTCCCGCTTTTATCCATTTATTTTCTGCCTAATTAAAACTAGTTGATATTCTTAATTTGAGCTAATGTTTCCTTCTGGGCCTCCTTGCAGGCTTGGATACGTAATTCCCATCAGCCATTTTACCTCCCTCGCAAAAAGAGGTAAACAGGTCGTGTTCCCTCCATTCAGCACAGATCAAAAACGAGTAGAGAGGTGCTTTCTCATTTCACTTGAAATATGAGGTAGAACAAGAGCACTCACAAACCGCGCTGATCCTTTCATGTTGTAATAGTGGTACTGCTGTAGTTAACTCTCTATAATAAGGATTGTACTATTGCCTGAATAACTGAGAACTCAACTGTTCTTTTGCTCAAATGCACCACACAAGTATAGCAAACACAAAGCGCCCTTTATTTGCTGAAATCAAACTCTATTTTTTTTTTCATGCTCATTGTTAGTACTTAGGTCTTAGGGTTTTGTATACCAGTATTGCAGCTATCCTTTATTATTTTAGATGGTTTTGGAGACTATTATTCTCACCTATAAAATACATCATATATCATATATTCAGGCTTGCGATATATATATATGTATGTGTGTGTGTGTGTGTGTGTGTGTGTGTGTGTGTGTGTGGATGAAGTACCTTTAGGAAGTAAGGACAGAAGATAGCTTAAATGAAACAGAATGATAAGGGTTTACTTGGATACTAGTAGCTCCTCACGCACAAGCAAACTCCTGACATATGTTTGATGACATGGCTTTGTACGTGACTCTTCTTAATGATGCCTCCAGGGACGGGGCACGTCCACTGGCTGAAAGCTGACTGGGGGCCTTTCTATTTCCACAGTTCTCAAGGGGCACGCAGCACTGCCCCAGAACATTGATATACACTGCAAGTGCTACACACATTTAGCAAGACAATGAAGTCACAAGTGAAAAAGGAGCTCGCAGCGGTGCCCAAACTTAAGTGAAGTGTGCAGGTGATTCAGCGTTAAAATACTTTTCTTCAGATCCAGTACACAGTCATTTAAGTAAAGCCATTTATATGCTAACTTCCGGAAAAATGTAAACAGTGGGCAGGACTACCTGTTTTGAACAACAGACGATTGGAAGCATTATTTGGGAAACTGATTTGGTCATTCCTTGTGGTGACAAAAGAAGATGTGCTCTTGTTGTGTACTTTACATCTTAAAACAAAACAAAACTAAACTAAACTAAATAGTATATTAATATTTAATATTTAAAAAAAAGGTTAAATTAATTACATTTAGCATTATTTTAAATTATAATACATATTCATTTAATTGCAATTGACATGGAATTTGGTGTCTAACAACATTACAATCAGTTTGCACCTAAGTGTATATTGCATTTAAAATATATTATTTCAGTAATAAGTACTATTGTTAAGGCTAAAATGCTGTTAATTTCACAAGAAATGACATGTCATTATTTACTCATTCTCATGTAATTCCAAACCTGTGTTCCGTGGAACCAAAAAAAGAGGATCAGCTGTTTTTTTCACCATACAATGTCAATAGGGTCCAATTGAATTTCAGTGTATGGAGAAAAAAAAAATCTTCCAATCATAGTGTTCCAATCATACAGTTTTAGAATGACATGAAGGTGTGGGAAAAGTGGCTATTTCATACCAGAACAGAGGCAGAGCTGAATGTGAATTCACAGTGGATTGTCAGGGACTACTGCCTTCCTGAATCACCGCTGCCACCGATTTGAGGACTTCATGCATTTCACCTGTTTGTCACTTTCACCTGTCTCAGTATAAAACCAGACGTTCAACTGTGCCAAGAATGAACATATTTTCATTTAAACATCCAATTAACCAACACACCAAAGCACAGATGGTCTGAACACTGCCCCTGTCTGTTCCAGTGCAGGAACGCTTGCCAGAAGGACTCAGGATTCTCTCGCCATCACAGTTTCAACATTAATTCATCCTGCCGACTGTGTGCTGCTGAAGTCAAGAAGATATATGCTAAACGCATGCCTGTATGCAGCCAGCCTATGTTAACTGATTCCAAAAGGGTAGGATTAGCAATGGAAATGGCCTGTGCTGAGCTGTCTGGAAACGGCACACAGGGGAGTGATGATGCATCCTTTTCCATGTGCCCTGCATTTGTGCGACACAATGCAACCCCATGACACACGACTGACAAGCTAAAAGCACCCTCACTGGGTTGTCTGTTAGACAGCATACCTGACAGATTTGAACCTGCTGAGTGACAAAGCATTAATGTCGTCAAGAGGAGGCACTTGTTAGCCGGATTTTGCCGTCCATGTGAAAAGCCTGGACACCATCTTAATCTATTCATGGTTTGGAGGTCTGTGTGCTGGTTTAAGATATTCTAGGCTGTTTAGTCCCCGACACATGAACAATTAATGGTTTATAGCACAATAGTGTCAGAACACCTGCATGAATATTCATAATCCACCTTTTGGAAAGCATGCTGCCTTGATCAGCCAGTTTTATTACCAGTGTAATAAGAGAACGAGGACGGGAAACGATGAGTAAAAGAGAGGGGAACAAGATTAGGAAATAATGCTAGCAAGTTTCAAACTTATAAACAGCATGCCTTACAGCGACAGAGCTTCGGTTTCAACATCTGTCCCTTTTTCAAATAGCTACAGGGTAAATTATTTGGTAGACTCAGTCTCAGTCTGTTCAAGTCAAGTGAGTCATATTTATTTGCATAGAACTTCTCACAATCTATGTTGTTTTAAAGCAGCCTTACATATAAACAATGCATCAGACCATCTCATGTATACTGCATACAAAAAGATCGGCTGGCTTCTC